TCTCCTCTCTCTCTCTCTCTCTCTCTCTCTCCTCCCTCTCTCTCTCTCACTCTCTCTCTCTCTCTCTCTCTCTCTCTCTCTCTCTCTCTCTCTCTCTCTCTCTCTCTCTCTCTCTCTCTCTCTCTCTCTCTCTCTCTGTCTGTCTCTCTCTCTCTCTCTCTCTCTCTTGCGTCTACATGCAAGTATAACGACCCTTCAACTTTTAAACACTCCCCCAACTCTCAATAATCATGACGGCTACAATAAACACAATCTTCTCCAAATAAAGCCCTAATCTCGAACTAATGTAAGAGAAACAGTGCCCGATCTGCCACCAAACTCCTCGAACTGTGCCGGATGGCCCGCTACCACATCACAATAACCGCATTCGCGCTACGAAATATCAATGAAAAAAATATAAATAAGGTCATCATAAACTACTCCAATTTTCTTTCTTAAAAATGCAGGGAATTTTAAAAGATCCGATGGAATACTGCTTTAGTGCCCTTTCTGCAACATTACGACACGTTTGAGTTTAAATTGAGCAACGAGACGAAAATAAACTCAGTGTCAATCGAGACGTCGAAGAAAAAGTACGTTCTGTCGACGGTCATGGCTTCACGGGACGTTCTAAGTTTATCTCTTGGTATGTTTATGATTATATTATTTTGAATGATTCGAGGGGATTTTGTAGTGTGGTTGTGTGTGGGTTAGTGTAATTTAAGGTCGAAATATCGTTTGGTTTTGGAGAAAAATGGTCATTTGGTAGAGGTGTTTGTATTTTTTTTTGTTTCAATCGTTTTTAATTTGGTTTGTTTTTGTTTTTGTTTTTCTGGGAGATGTTTGCCAGGTTTTATTTAGCCATTTTGAATGATTTTTCGGAAGATATTCATTATTCACTTCATTATTCTTGTAGATATTATACTTTAGTGCTATTGTTGGCTATGAATCGGTAGTTTATTGAAAGCTTTGAATTTTATATTTATAGGAGAAAAAAATAAGAAAGAGGGAGAGAATGTGAATGATTGTCTGAGATAAACGTTTAGCAGACTCACAGAATCAAGTATTTGAGGTGAATATTGGTTGTGTTCTGTCAAAATAGACCTGAAACTGACTCGTATCTGTTAGATAGGCCTACAATCCTCACGTCCAGGCCACTTCTGATACAATGTCAGGCTGATATAAGACCGCAAACTATCCACCATGTATATTCCAGTAATAAAAGAGTTTCTTATTAGATGGGAAAATAAAAGGGAGGTCTACAGGCTCTGTTTTGTGAGGAGACTAAAGGGTGTGGATTTTTGTTGGCCATTACTGGAGCACCTGCAGGAGTGGGAGGGTGTGCTGACTGTCAGGAGGCTAGCTTCAGATGTGCAGGTGTGGGCTAAATTTTTTATTTTGACTTATTTTATTAACAGGATCATTGTATTTTTGGTTGATGTGGTCCTGTGTGATATTAAACACATAAACAAAGGCCTCTCAGTGTATATATTCAATTTATATTATACAAAGTTTCTTATGTAATGATAACTTACCTCTCGGCCATTTATCATTACACATGGAACCATCCTGACTATTATCCCAGAATATATGGAGGGTTGGCTGTTACCAAAATGCACATCAACTGCTGAAATTCTTACTGATGCGCTATTATTGTTTAGTACTCCAGATTAAAAGCTTTCTGTGTGTGATCAGTGTCATGTGGATATGGTTAAAATCCCCACAGAAAAGAAAAAAAAACCCTGTTTTAAAAGCCAGGGTGGGGTCCAATATAAATGCATTTATTAATTATTATTTTATACAATAGATGTTGTGGTAAGGTCATTTACATTCTTTATAATGTCAGATTTATAGTTTCTTTTCTCATTATTATTTTCTTTGTGTTCAAAATCATTTGATATCTTTTACAACCTGACAGTTAAAGTTTGATTGAATCTACGAGACTGACACTTGCTATTGTCCTATAGA